CCCAGGTGAAGAAGATTGCATTGAAGCTACTGGGCAAATGTATTTAATTTCATTCATAAACTTTATAGGAAAGTTTGCAAACTTTACAAAGGTTGCCCCAGATTATACAATATATATATATAAATGAAATGAACTCCCTTCCCCCTGTTTTAGCTATCCACATTCATGGTCAAACCCTACCCCATGTCGTGATCCAAAATGCTCCCCCAACCCCAAGATCTCACAATCTCTCATGCTTGTAGGCCACTCACTCCCACAATGCTGAAGATACACTCTCTCAATATTTCCTCCCCTCCCTTCCCTCAGATATATCACTGTCCATCGCCTCAACCATTTCTAAGTCCAATACCCTCAAGATCCATGCCCCTCTGTGGCTCTCAATTCCACCCATTCTAGAAAACTCAAAACATCCAGGCAGTCTTTACTTGACGTCACCATTTCTACATTCAATCGGCTGCCCCTGGCTTGAGCAAAACACCCAACTATGCAGGCTGCACCTCTGCCAAATCAGTTTCCATAGTCCATGTGGGTTTCAGTTGACCCAAATATTGACAAAAATCACCTTGTAGTTCCAAAGTGCTCATCACACTGTATGTATCATTTGAAAACAAAGCCATTACATTTACCAATGATGGAGAAGGGTTGTAGCCCTCTCATTCGTTCATTCTATAAATATCTCTCTATCTGCTGGACACTTAGGGAGCCGGGGTGGCATCATGGGCTACACATTGAGTTGCTAACCCCAAGGTCAGCAGTCCGAACCCACCGGCTGCTGCAGGGAAGATACATGAGGCTGTCTGCTCCCATAAAGATTCGAAAGTCCCAGAAACCCAAAGGAGCAGGCCTTTCCTGTCCTCTAGCATTGCTGTGACTTGGAATTGACTCCAAGACCGTAGATTTGGATTTGGGTTTTCGCTGGATACTTAATACTTGCCTACAATTTGCCAGCCAGAATACGATGCCAGGCAAGATTCCTAACCTCAATTCCGCCCATTCTAGACCTCAAGTAATTCGCCGTTCATAACTCAAGTCAGTTTGGTTTTTGATTTGGTAACACAAAGAATTCACAGATCCACCATCCACTACCAGAAAATTTTTTTAAATGCAAACAAAACCCAAGCTCTGTCAACTGGGACTCATAATGACTCTCCAGGACATCCGGTTTCAGGGACCGTCTATCTTTCCAAAAACAGACTGTCCCATCTTTCTCGCACGGACTAGTTGGCAGGGTCTCACCACCAGCCTTTTGGCTAGCAGTCCAACACGTGACCCACTGAATCCACTGTGCCACTCACGAGAGGACGCATGAGCTGAGTGTCCAGGCAAATAAAACAGCCAGAAGAAACCTTAAAAGACACGAGGCTGTAGGAGCCCTTGGGAGAGACACCTGACTGCCTCTGTGGGCATCAAGGAAGGCTTCTTCCTCTTCACTGGAGGGAAAAATAAATCGGTATGGAAAGAGAAAATATCATGAGGTGAGTTAGGGATGTGAAAAGTCAGTAGAGAAGAAACATTTATTTCAGAGAGCAAGAACAGTTATGGTGTGTGGGGTGGGGGGGTCACTGGAATGTCTTCTACTGAAGAGAGGAGGGAGCTGAGCTTTGAAAAGTGAGTGGGAGGTAGCCAGGTGGGATAGAGGAGGCCGGACGCTGCGGGTGGGGGAGTGACTTGTGGAAAGACACGGTCCAGAGAAAGGCTAAGGAGTTGCTGGAGCAACTCCTGAACAGAGTGGGTTACAAGGCCAGCCCCAATCAGAGCCAAACTGACCCCCTCCTAGAAGAGTGTGTGACAGAGGGCAGCACTCAACCTCCAGGTTGGGGAGAGGGGCTGGCCTGCCACACCCACGGAGGCAAACCAAGAAGGAAAAAGAGAGAGGGACGGCCTAGACCCCATATCAGCACACCAAGCCCTGAGGATGACGTCCCTGCACAGAGCTGCTAAGGCACAGAGAGGACTGTAGGGCCAACAACAGCTCCAGACATGCTGTCCCCTCGCTGGAGCTGTTGTTGGAGGTACAAGATGACAGGAGGACAGAGAAGGCACAACCTGGACAGGGATCAGCATTGGAAGAGAGGCAGAGGGTCCCGCGGAAGGAGACTGAGAGGTCAAGCCAACAGGAGAGAAACAAGATACCATTTCAGCAGGAGGGTTTGCCAGTCATGCCAGTAAATGCTGTCCAGAATTAAGTACAGCATTTTTCACGTCAGCATTGTGTCCTAAGATGTGACTGACCTTTCAGCTGTTTCTGGTGCTCCCTGGTATAAGTAAAGCTTTGGAGAACATCTCTACTGCTTAACCTTCATGTCGATGCCTGGATAATTCATGGCAGCACATGTCTGTCAGTGACAAGTAACCATTCCAGAAAAAGTCATGCTAGTTTTCCAGCCCAGCAGCTGATACAAGAGCAGGGTAATCGTGCCTCTTTATTCCAGTTTATAGAGTAGCGTGGGCTCTCAGTGTAGACATTTGTTCCATCTGTACTAGTCAGGCATAGCAAGTTTCTGTGTATGTGTTTTGGCAATATATTATGTATTCTTTCAAACCTATCTTTGAATGTTCACTTTTTTCCAATGGATTTTTAAAGAACATATCACATATTACATACATTAATTTTTATCTAGCAACAAATATATCCTTTATAATTTTTTCATCTTAATGCTATTTACAAAAGTTTCTATGCCCAGAAGATTAGCAAAGTCATCAAATCTGTCCATTTCCAGCCTTTTCTTTTATGGTCAGGTAATTATTCACCTACGGTATCTTTAATATCCTTTCTGGTCTCAATTTCTTTTTTCAATGAACTCATTTTTTTTTAAGGCTTGATGTTAACTTCACTTAATTTAATTTTTTACTATCATTTTATTATTTTTCTAATTTATTATTAAGTGGGAGTTAATATATATATCATATCATTCTATATTCAATCACATCAAGCAGTATTGTACCATTGCTACCACAATCAATTTCCAAACGTTCTTTTTCTTTCTGGACCCCTTGACTCCATGAACTCTTTCATTATTCTCTGGAGGGCATGCGTTAGGGAGCATTTGTTTCCTTAGCCAGGCAGTTAATCAGTTGTCCTAGAACCCTTTATTGAATTAAACTAACTTTCTCTACTAAACTGAGATATCATTTTTATCTTGTGTTACATTATTTGAGCACTTGAGTATGTTTTCAGTTCCAGCATTCTTTCTAATATAGAAATTTAAATATTTCACTCCCACTTAGACATAAAAATAAAACCCAAACCCAAAGCCTAACACCCAGGGATTGTTAGGACCTGTCCCCTACTTACCTGTTTTACATCATCCCTACACTCTCTACTCTTGGTCTCCTCAGAAAGCCACAATCTCTGTTACCCAACATGCTACTCTGCCTGCCTGCAGTAACCTTCCCCCGCCACATCCTCCCCCTTTTATCTGGTTCATTCCGACTTCTTCCTCTGTGACTCAGAGCAGTCTTTCCTCTAGTAAAAAATGCACGCACGCACACACACACACACACACACAATTCCTCTATCTTCTAGTTGCTCATTTATCTGTACATTTCTGTTAACTTGACTTGGAATTCCTAAGTTCCCATCACAATATTTTTTCTAATCAATAAGTATGGATTTAACTCACTTTAACTTAATATTTACTGAGGCTACTCTCTATCACATAATATGCCAGGTACTAAAATTAATTTTAAAATAACAAGCTGAATATCTGCTACACACACTTAAATTTTTACTTAAGACTTGTGATGTTTAGGGACGCATATTAAATGAAGGTAATCGCCAGTCAATGGATTTCTCAAAACGTGTCTTCAATGACAAAATAAACTCTAATCAGTACACCCATTCAAATAAAATGTAGTAAATGTAAAATACTGGAAAAGTTATAACAAGCCACAAAACAGAGTGTTTCTCTTCAATACAGTCCCTCGCTGGCAAATATCTAGCTCTTGACACAATAATCACAAATTCTCTAAAGGTTCGTTTCATTGTTCGTTTTTGAACCCTTTGGTTCTGCATTTGTGGACCCCTACAACTGTTAAGTCACACAACTCTGATAGCAAAAGATGTCGTCTTACTTGGTACATTTGTTCTGATCCAACTTTCCTAGAATGGCTCTTCAATTTCAAACACGTGTCATTAAATATTGAAATATTGAAAACGCCATCATCTTCTAAGATATCATTTTCTGAAAGATAAGAGAGAACATATTGAAAGGTTCCACCACCTTCACAAATCATGGTCATGGCTAAGCCCAGCTGAAACTCTGACAACTGGAGACAGTTACAGGGAAAGCATTAAACTTGACTTTGACGTCCTGGCTCTACAACTGCTGAGTGGTGTGACCTTGTCTGAGTCACTTAACCCCTCCGGGTCTAGTTTCCTTGTGAAACTAAAATAATCCCGTTTGCTCTTCCTGCATACCAAGACTTCTGGGAGATGCAAGAGAAATATGCATGTTAAAGATCTCAGAAACTGACCCTCAAGGAAAAATAATAGCTTGAAGGTAAGCAGAAGATAGAACGTCTGAGGAAAAAAGAGGCGAACAAAACTCAAAGGTCATGGATTAGAGCTTTCGGGGAGGGGAAATAGACTTTTTCAGGGAATAGAACTTTCCACCCTAGAACATGACCACCAAGTAGATGCTCAGAAAGAAGGAGGTTGGTTTTCACAGCAGAGTATCTCAAGGGCTGCTCACAGCTCAGTCTTAAGGCAGTAAAACAGTAGAAACCAGGCTGGCTTCAACCATTCTAGAAAAGCCATTCTAGCCTCCTGCAGTCTAATCCATTCCTTCAATGTTCTACGTTGTCAAAAGAAGAGGTTGTTACTAGAAAAATCCAAGAACTTACAGAGAGTCCAGGAGTACCATGCATGGGTCACTGTCAAAGAAAAGCAGATTTCCTAACAAAATCTGTATATTATCTATTTTTAACTACCATTTAAGTATATTTCCCCCAAAGCAAATAATGATAACAAATTATTTTGGTGAAAGTCGGAATTGTCCAAATATCATGAGGCAATCCGGGAGGAGAAAAATCCTAATTAGAAAATGTAAAAGTAAGACTCCAAGAGAAAATGTGAAGACCTCTGTCACCTTCCTCGCCTCTGTATGCACAGTTTTTATTCTAAAGAGGCAACAGAAGGGTCAGAAACAAAAGCTGTCAGATACGTGCATATCATTTTGAGGAACACTAGATGTATATAAGAAATGCGCGTGTGGATGAATGTGTAGAAGAAGCACCAGGTAGAATAAATGAGGAGGCTTCAAATAATTGGTGGGAAAATACCATTGTCTTTCATTCCATTTCTCCATGAACCTTTGGCAGCCCCTTCCTATGTCCTGTAAAAGTAAAACATGAGCACAAGTACTCTCTGTATCGTTCCCATCTCAAGATGATTCTCACACCAAGTGATGATTCTGGGGAAGATGGAAATGTGAACAAAGGCATCTGGCTCCCACCCCCAAGCCTGACAGAAGTGGCTGAAAATAAGTGAAAATAGGTCAAAATTTGCATCCGGGTTGGAAAAAAGGCTTGGTTGTCACACACGAGGCAGTAATAACAGGATGACATTTCTGCTCGTCACAGAGCAGAAGAGACCAGGCTGAAGAGACAGGGGACTGCTGTGCAACCTGCCTCCCGAGCAAAGGACCATGGGCATGCCGTCTGCACAGAAGCCAGTGGAGAACCGGCCCATCGAGATGGGGACTGGGAGGAGACACAGCGAACAGAGCAAGTCAGTGAAGAGCCAACCCTCCCTCTGGCAGCAGTTTCCGATCCCGGAAGTGCATCAGAAACACTCGACAATAGCAGGTCTGAAGTGAAGCTTGAACAATCTGTATGATTTGTAAGTCCAGCAGATAATTCTGATAGCTAGCCAAGGTTTGCTTAATATATTTATTTTATTTTCATATTTATATATTACTACAATTAATATTAATAACCCTCTTTTTTAGCACAGTAACAGGGAAAGATCGCAAAAAGGAGACCGAGGGACGTGGGGGAGGCCTGCTGGCATCGTGGGTTACACACGTGTTGGGTTGTGAACGGCGGCGTAAACCCACCAGACGAGATTGTTTTACTTCCACAAAGAGTTACAATCTCAGACATCCACAGGCAGTCCTACTCTGTCCCGAGGTTGCTGTGAGTTGGAAGGACTCGATGGCTGTGAGTCTGAGTTTTCTTCCTTTTGGATGTTTTGAGCTATTGATCTTGGGTTGGTAGTCACCCGTGCCAAGCAGGGGAGCCACTGGATGCTCCAAATGAGCTCAGAGAGAAGTGTGCTCCTAGTAGACAATGAAAAGATCAAAAGAAATTCCACTCATTTTGGTTGGAGAGAAGTATCAGACTTAGAGAGAACTTCTATCTTCCCAGGATAAATAATCTAGACGCAAAAGAAGAAAGAAAGAAAGAATTCTACAAATGAGAGGGAGACAGTGTTTAGGAGGCCAAGAATGAGCATGCTTTTGAAGGGGAAAATATCATTGAGGGAAGTAAAAGTAATATTTGGCAGCATTTTCCGTTTTGTACCTTCAATGAAAAATTTTAAGATGGCTTAAATAACAGAGAAAAGATGAAATAATAAGAGACAGTGACAGCAGAGAAGGAACTATTTGAAAAAGAGGAAGGAATCAAAAGTAAACTGCAGAAGATTTTTTAATAAAAAATACACACACGTAAAAAACCTTAACAGAATTGAAGACGCATTCCGAAGCCAAAAATCAAACTCACTGCCGTCGACTTGATTCCGGCGTACAACCTCGTAGGGCAGAGTTGAACTGCCTCTGTGGGTTTCTGAGACTCTAACTCTTTGCATCGCCACTTGTCTGTCAGTTTGTCATACAGGGGTGTCATACAGTGTTGCTGTGACACTGGAAGCCATGTCACTGGTATGTAGTTGCCAGCAGGGTCACCCAAAGTGAACAGGTTTCAGCAGAGCTTCCAAACTAAGACAAGGGTGAAGGGCTCTACCTCTCGCTTCAAAGGTGGGGCCACTGAAAACTCCATGCATAGTTTCCAACACTGTCAGATACGAAAGGCCTAACGAGTGGAAGAAAACCAGCGTCAGAGATGGTGCCAGACGCTCAGGACGGAGGGCACCCAAAATGTGAGTGAGGAGGAGAAGCTGCTTTCTCAGGGTGCAGTCGACCACAGGATGCGAGCTGGCTGAAGCCTGTCCTATTGGAGCCTCCTGGATCCCCATTTGTGGCTGGGGCCCAGATCAAGGTGAAGGGGAACAGCTGTAAAAATCTGCCAAGGATTGTAACTTGGAGTGTGTGACGTCTGAACCTAGGAGAATTGGAATTCATCAAAAATGAAATAGAACACATAAACATTGATATCCCAGACATTGGTGAACTGAAATGGACTGATAATGGCCATTTTGAATCAGAAAATCCTATGATTTACTATGCAGGGAATCACATTATCAAGAGGAGTGGCATGGCATTCATTGTCATAAAGGATACTACAAAGCCCATCGTGAAGGACAATACTGTCTGTGACAGGATGTTATCTAGCTGCCTTCAAAGCAATCCAATCAATACAATTATTATTCAGATTTATGCACCAACTACAAAAGCTAGTGAGGAAGACAATGAAGAAGTCTGCTAATGACTTCAGTCAGAAATTGATCAACCATATAATCAAGATGCATTGATCATTGTTGGTGATTAGAAACAAAGAGGAAGGAACAGTAATTGGGAAATAAGGACTTGGAGATAGAAACAAAGCTGGAGGTCTCATGATAGAATTTTGCAAAACCAACAACTTGTTCATAGCATATGCCATTTTTCAAGACCAAAAGAGGCAACAAAACATGTGGTCTTCTCCAGATAAGAACCCACAGAAATCAAATTGACTGTATCTATGGAGAAAGACTATGGAGAAGCTCAATATCAGCAGCTAAAACCAGGCCAGGTGCTAACTGTGGAACAGACCATCAATTGCTCATATGTAAGTTCAGTTATGAAGCTGACGACTAAAATAAGTCGACGAGAGCCAAAATAAGATTTTTAGTCTGTCACACCTGAATTTTGAGAACATCTCAAGAACAGATTTGATGCATTAAACACTGACAGATGAGCTGTGGTAGGACATCGAGGGCATCATTCATGAAAAAAGCAAAAGACCATTAAAAAGACAGGAAATAAAGAAAAGATCAAAGTGGATGTCAGAAGAGACTCTGGAACTTTCTCTTAATAGATAGCTAAAGCAAATGGAAGACATGATGAAGTCAAAGAGCTGAATAGGAAATTTCAGAGGGCTGCTCAAGAAGACAAAGTCCAATATTATAATGAAATACATACAAACCTAGAATTGGAAACCCAAAATGGAAGAACCTACTTAGCATATTTTAAACTGAAAGAACTCAAGAAAAAAATTCAAGCCTCAAGTTGCAACATTGATCTATGGGCAAAATATTGAATGATGCAGGAAGCATCAAAATAAGATGGAAAGAATATGGAGTCACTGTGCTTAAAAAAAAAAACCCTACATTCCACCATGTCAAGAGGTTGATCAATTTTCCTTCTTTTGCATTGTTAATATTTTCTGTACACTATTATGATTTTACCCTTACCACCTTAGCATGATTTTGTTTTCTGTTGGGTCTTCCAGCTGTGAAGCACAGGAAGAGTAGCGATATAATGACAATAATGGATACAAGGGGATCTAAGAGAATACAGGGGTAGCGGGGGAGGAGATAGGGAGGAAAAGGAGATTTGGAGAGTAACTAATAAAGATGGGAGGGGGAGGGGATATTATAATGGATTGTGATTGCATGAATCATTTTAAAGGCGATTTGACCATGGGGGAGAGCGGATGTTCTAAAATTGATGTGGGGGGTGTGTGATTGTCTCCGTGACATGATTGAATGATTGAACTATTGAATTATATGATATGTAAATTTCTTGCAAATAAACTGCTGGAAAAATTAATAAAATACAATCAAATAAATGAAAGCCAAAAAAAGTCAGCGTAGGAATGTATATAGAGAACAAACTTATTATATTCATAGAGTGCAGTGGGGTGGGGGAACAGACAGAAAAAGGAGAAAATGAAAGACCAATGAGGGCAGACAGGAAATGCCATATACGGTGTATTGAAAACCATCCTCTCCTCCACCCCTGAGCCCTCCCACTTTACCAAGCATTATGTCCTCGTCCGGGGACTGGTCCTCTCGGTAACATATATGAGAGACTAAATCTTGTCATCCTCATACCTAAGAAGCATTCTGGCTGTGCTTCCTCCAACACAGACTTGTTTGTTCTTTC